GCAAAATGTATCAGCTGTATTAAGAAACTTGACATAAATGATTCTGTTTCACTGGAGCTTTCTTTGCGTTGTTGGGGGATTTTGTGCTGTTGGGTTTTTTTGGTCGTGTTTTTAAAAACACAAAGCCAGTGTGTGACAACATGAGCTCTCCATCTTATCTGCATCCCATCATCTTTCTTTCTACAAATAGCCCCAGCTTCCATAGTGCTCCAGTATTATTTTTTCAGTGAGTGAACACAAGGTTGCTAAGTCTCTTGTGGAAGGATCTGTCAGTTTTACAATGCTAGGTTACACATCTGGTGTGTTTAAAGGTAAATGCTTATGCAGCTTATAAATAGGCACTGAAAGCACTTTCTTACTAGAGTGCATACAGTGTTCTTTGCCTTATCACGAACCCTCCAGATGCTGGATTCAATTCCAGTGCAATTTGTGTGACTGATGTTGTATCAGTCATGGGGATGCTGTTAGAAAAGACTGAGACATACATTAATGTGAGATACCTCAATACACTGCCTTCCATTTCTGAAAGGGCTAAAGTGAATAAAATCACTTTTCTGAAAGACACCTTAAGGCTCTTACAAGTTACGGTCAAAAGAGATCACCTGTTCTAACAGCAACAACTTGTGAACACATCTATTTGGAGAAATGAGCAAGAAAAAGGGAAAGACTAGTAAGCTTGACAGAGCAGCTGAAACAGCAGAACACCTAAGGAGGAATGGAGACAGACAAGACAGATGATACCTGAATGAAGCAGGAGTCTGGTATGAGGAGACAACAGGAGAAACACTCACGAGGAAAAGCTTCCTATCTGGGAAGAGAATGGACTTCTTGTTCCTAAGAGGAAAAAGAAAAAAACCCCAATTAGTTATTAAAGAGGCTGCCAGTGATGTTGAAGAGGAATTGCAGTTAGCCATTTTGAGGACAGCAAAGTCCATCAGGTGAAGAAGGCAGGAAACAGACTAGAACTAATTAAAAAGAACCCAAGAGCAGAATACTTACCCACCCACTTGGCTGTAAAAGCCAAGAAGAAAGGGAAGACAGGGTCTTGGCCAAATGAAATGCTGATGGAGATTGAAGCGATACGAGAAGCAACACCAAGTGTGGCAATCAATGCTATCATAAACCTGTGCCACTGAGAATAAAAAGAGGAAGCAAGATGGGGATCAGGCCAGGAATAAGGAGGGAAATGAAACAGGGAAATGAAATTTGTCATAGTAAGAGGTACAGTAAAAGCATCGTACTTCCAGCAAGGTTTTGTACAATCCATGTCAATAAGCTGCAGTGGCACCAATGCCTTCTGCACAAAGGCACTGGCACTTCTATCTCGTGTTTCCTCTGAGTTCCCTCTACTCTCAGCATTGTGCAAGCATATATACATTTCTACTTTTCCTGGCCCTGCCCTCCTCACATCCTCTTTTTACTAAGATCTCCTAGCTCCTTCTTCTAACAAAACTGTGATGCCTGTTCCACTTCCAGTGCTGCAAGACCCCTGGCAGCAAAGAATGTGCTCATTTATTGCAAAAAGGTTTTGTCAAAGGTAAATGTTGTAGATAAAGGGGCTGAAGAATCTTACAGAACAGCTAAAAACCATTTCAACTTCTGGGTCAGCTAGGGAATTGAGTCCTTATTAACTTCGGGGTCAGCTAGGGAATTAAGACTGTGTAGAATGACGCAGTAAAGGCAATACAAGGAGCAAGTTAATTAACAACTGTCCCTTAAAGCAACCAATTTGATACCAATCTAGAATATTTTTGAAGAGTTGAAAACTCAGTTAATACTACTTCTGCAGTTATGGTATTCTGACAAGAACTGTTCCTCTAAACTGCCTGTGAAATAAAGTCCTCTGCTACTACCTAGTTACCTGCAGCCACTAGCTGGATTACCTTCAGGATTTACACAGCACCTAGTAGCCAACTCTGGCAGGACAACAGTGAAGCACAGAAACCTGAGTGCCAGCCCAGGGCTAGTGAAGTCCCCACTAACAGAGCCTTCTGTCCATAGCATTCGCAAGATGACCACTCTTCCAGAGGTGGCTGTATGAAAACAATGCTCCATTTCACATGAAATAGAGCCCTATGCCCTTTGCGTCTTCAAGTCAGATTTGTTTCCTGAAAAAAGCTATTTTACAGTGCCAGTTACTCGCTACAGAGTCATTACAGCAAGAGGAGAACTGGAAATTTTGGTATGCTTGGTAATCAGGACTCTGTCAGGCCAGCATAAATTCTACTTTTTGCTATTATTGGGAGAGACAGAAAAGGGATTGATTTTTCACATCTTATGTCATGCATGCAACAGCAGTCAGTCTTTGACTATAATAAGTGAATAAAACACCTATTTCCACACAGCAGCTCTCACATTTAAAAGAACTTTACTATTTTACTTAGTTCAAGAACAGTAAAAAACACGCAGAGATTAAAGGGAAATGGGCATATGTGCTACACAAAAAGTCTGCCTGTTTCATGAGAAGCAATGCAATGTACTCCCAAAGGTACTAAAAAATAGTCTGTTATTATTATAGCAAAAACAGTGCATTGGTAGAGCTTGTACAGAGTCCCCATGCAGATCTTAAATTATTCTGTTTGTGTGAATTAAAGCACACTCATCACGCCCCACTTCACAATCTCTAACTAGCATCAGTGATGCTACACATGTCAATAAATGCCCAGGGAGCCATATGTTAACATCATATTCCTGTAAATCCATTACAACTCACGCTCTTGAATCGCTCTGGGGTCCCAGAGATCAGCATCTTTCAGTGGATTTTCCTCCCTCCCTTCTCTCCCTCTCTTTTGACTGTATCATAAGCTTTTGTAAGCATCCCTAGTTATTTGAAGAGCAACAGATATAAAAGAATACAGAAGAAATTATGTCTGCCTCCATCTGGTAAAATGACAAGCTTTTCTTTAAAATGCACAGGCTTTGGCAGAAATATTCACATCCCTCACAGGTTTTGTTCCTACATATCTTAAGAGATTCCTTTGTATAGAAATATAACTTTATATATAATGTTTGGATGCATTAAGAAGCCCCTGTCAGGAAGACTTTATGTGACTTCCTTGTAACTCCTTCCCGGTGGGAAAAGATCAATAAATAATAAGGAGCCACTACTAGAAAGCCAAGAAACTTTCTCCAACCAGAGAAATTTTTAGTTTTGTTTTTGGCTTTTTTTTTTTTTTTTTTTTTTTTTTTTTTTTTTTTTTTTTTTTTTGTTAAGAGACAGAGGAGGAGGGGGCAATTCACTGTTGTCTATAAACATAGAACTGCTTTTCTACTGTCATTTACTATTTTCACATTCAACCAGCAGCGAATCCTACACGGAAAGTTGCAGCTGATGGAATCACGGAACTGATGGAATCGCGGCCGGGCCGCGGGGCACCATCCTGCCCTGCGAACCGCTCCCGCCTCCTTCTCTTCCAGCTTCTTTCGCGGTAGGTGGGCGAAGCACCGGGGCCTAAGCGAGCGCCGCGTGCCTCCGCGCCTGGATTGGGATCAAAGCTGCGGCTTTCGGGGAAGCAAATGGCTCACTGCACCCCGCCGCGGCCTGGAGGGGAGCGATGCATCCCTCCCACCTCCTCCGTCCCCGGGACCTCGGCACCCTTCCCCAACAGCCCTGGGGAGCACCGCATCCTCGCCAGCATCTCAGCCGCATTTAGGCCGGCAGCGCTGCTGTGTTTCGCACGAAGGCGCTGTCTCCGCGCTGTCCGCGGGGCTGCGGGCGCTGCTCCCGACCCGCTCCCCGCTCCCCGTCAGACAGCGCCGGCCGCCGGGCGGGACGGACCCTCCTGAGCAGCCCCGAGGTTTCCAGCTCAGGAACGGCGCAGCCCTTCCCCTCCCACCTTTCAAGCCTTTCGCGCGGTACCGCAGGAACTTTGCTTTACAGAAAGCACACTGGAGCCCGCCAGCCCTCTCCCCCGGCAGCCCGCCGGCTCCCCGGCCCTTCCCCGCACTCACCGCGGCGCCGAAGGCACGGAGGCCAGGGGAGGAGCCCACGGGCGCTCTCCTCACCCCCTCCCGCCCCACAAACAGTCTCTCCTCCCCAGCGGGAAGCGGCTCCTCCCCGCGCAGGAATGGCCCAAGGCTTTCCCTTCGCCAGCATAGCATTGCCCTCCGCACCCACCCCTCCTTCCCCGAGAGGTGCCAGGGGTCCTCTGGCAGTGACCATTTCCCTCGGTCAAACTCCCCCGGCGCAAGGATACTGCCAGAGGAGTACTTCATGCATAGTTTTGCGCTCCCTACTGACTTTACATCCATTAAAAAAACACAAACAGCCAATGGAGGCTTCAGCTACATTCCCACATCAGATTTTATTTACATCAGCAACGCACTCTGCACAGGGAGGTCGTGGAGTCTCTCTCTCCAGAGACATTCCAAACCCACCTGGACGTGTTCCTGTGGTACCTGTTCGAGGTGACCCTACCTTGACAGGATGTTGGACTGGATGATCTCCAGAGGTCCCTTCCAACCTTAACAATCTGTGATATTCTTGAGGGGTGCACACTGAACAGGCATGGTAGAGGTTTGGTAAGCACAGTTTTATTTACTCAAACTAGGCAGTGCTAATATGGAAAGTACCGTGTTTTACAGAAGTCACTGTGCCCAACTCTGGAAACAGACATGCTACATCAGGACAGCAGCTACACATACTTGGCAGAAGTTTATAGAAAACATTTTATACAGAGAAGACATGGTCAGTCTGTTATTTTAACATCTGCTTATCTAAGCAGTCACACAGTGACATCAATTATATCTTACATCTCTCTGCACATCAAGAGAAAAAAATACACTGTGAAGAAGATAAGCCAAATCTCAGTGATTTGACATCTTCCAGGTTGTCAATTTTTCCTCATTCCCCCAAAGACTAACTGCAGGGGTTGCAAAGTACCATGAAAATAAATTCTCTATATATTACAAAAGCTTCCAGTTTTGCACTGGATTGTCAAACTGTGGGGAGAAAAAAACAAAACAAAACAAACAAACAAAAAAAACCAAGAGGCCAAGTCTGTTAATTTAGGGTTTAATAGGGGAAAAAAACCCAGAAAATAAATGTGCTAGGACTCAAAGGAGACTTTCTGATTTCACTAGACCAAGGCCTAGATAGACAAATAAGCCATTCAAAAAGATAATTAAAAAAACCTTAGAAATACCAAACCAAAATGAATTCTTTAAAAATCTCTTGCTTATAGCTAACCAGTTCACCTATGACTTTCACTAGATGCTGAAAGGAAGGAAGCTATGATGTTTTGAATTAGATGCTTTGCTGAATGTTGTATTCAGGCCCAGGCTGCCTTTTGGACTTACGCTTTAAAACATGGAAGGAGTTAAAAAAATGCTACATTTTTTCTATTAACTATAAAACAGGAACAAGAACTAGGCTTTAAACCATTAAGAGAAGTAGCAGAGAAAAAGGTTTAGCCTTAGAGGTTTGAGTTTACTCTGCATCTAACAAATGTAGTCATGTATACATATAACTTGTACAAACATATGACCTGATCCTGTAGCCCTTATTCCTCAGAAAGCAACAGGTGCAAAATTCATGAAGATGGCCTTTTTCTTTTTAAAAGGTCAGTAAACTGGACATGAAGCACAAATTTACATGCAGCACTGCATGACAATTGCAGATAGATAATTCCTAAATCTGCAATGTACTTGCAGCATGTACTCAAGCTATTCATAGAAAAAGAAGTTACCAATGTCAATGTGTCTTCAGACTGCAAGTTATGTCTAATGGTTTACTGCAGATGCACAGCAAACTGATTTTTCGTGATAAATAAACTGCTGATCAGCACATTGAAGAGAGGTATCTAATCAAGGTGAATAGCCAAGCAAATGCAGAGGCATTCTATGCAGAATTTATTTCCTCTGCTTTAATAGCAGCTTCAATCTCTTCCATGATTGGCACCGGTCCTGCATAGTTATTAGTTTCAATAGCTTCTAATTTCTCCTGATAATCAGTTGGCAAGCCATTCTGTTTTGCACCCATGCAGATAACCTATAATTAAAACGGAAAAAAAAAAAGCCTTCAGTAATAGAAAGGACAGACTCCTCCAAACAATCACTTGAGTAGGAGGAACCATTTAAGTTACCCAGAGAATTTATCTCAAATAGCGCTATTTGTACCTAAGGTTAGCCAAAGGCTTCTGGGAGACTACTGAAGACCAGAACAGCGTGAACAAAATTACTCTGAAAAGGCTTTTAACTACCCCTGAGGTTCTGATGTGTTACTGAAGTGCACAAGACTCTCTAATTAAGCTGTTATTCAGTAATTTTTTCCAGACAGGATGATAATTTCAATAATATATGCTGCTTCTCACTCAGGTGTGACACTAAAGTTGGCTGAAAATTTAAAAAGTAGTTATTTTTAAAACTAAGCTGTTGAAAGGACAACAACAAGTACCTAGACAGGGTACAGAAATAACAGACAGACACTTAACTCAGTGAAAAAGCACAGATTCATTAGTTTATTAATGCTGCTTTCCTTCTATACATGAAAGAAACTGAAGTATTGGTGCAGAAGAAAAGATGTGACAGTGAGAGGAGAAGAGGAAGTTGTAGGAATACAGCTTGAAGGAGACACCAGCAAGCTTGCATATAGAAATGAAAATTCTAAATATGTTTTCATGCATTCAACAGCATACATTTCAAGGATGAGGTGTCTGGAAAGAAATAATTTTGCCACAAAAAGTACATAACAGGAGATGGATGTAGTTCAATCACTGTTAGCAAATGCAGTAATCTTTTAAGTTTTTAGCTCTCCTGCCTGGTTAATTTAAACAAACAAACAAAAAAGCTGGGGGCACAGGAGAAGAACAGAACTAAAAATTGCTCCTGACAGGACCAGGAAGGAATGATAAAGTTGCCAATAGCAGAGGTCTGCACTTTCAGCATACCAATGAGAGCTGACACACAGCAGCAGACTATATACTAACTCCCTGAAAAGCCCTAAAGATCTGCCTTGCCACGAGGTGGAAAAGCAGAGTCTGCTTTCTAAGCAAGCCCTCTCTTCAGCACTCCCACAGCAGCTGCTCTTAGCTGTGCTCCTGGAAGTCATTCATAGGAGTGAGTTCCTCAGTTTGGAGAAGGTGGCACACTTGGGATTTCACAGGCTCACTCCTGGTTTCTGCACTTCAGGTAGGAAAAGCCAGCTGCAGTGATGTCTGTGTAGCAGTACTAAAGCTGCAGCACTCAGACACACAGCCACACCACCCCAGCCTGGGCCTGCACAGATCTCACAGGCTAAGCAGGTCAGGCCTGCTGCGTGACTGGGTCATGTGTCCCTACAGAGTCAGTGTTGCAGAACAGTGTTGAAACACTTCTGCCTCACCAGCCACCAAGGGGGAACCCTGCAGTGCTCTGCAATGCTGCTGGAGCCCTGTGGTGTACTGCTGATGTGTCTGGTAAAAGGTGACAGCGGTACCCTGTCATGATAACATGTACTTCCTGTGACAGTAAGCATAATCCACGTCCTGGAAACTACAAGCCAGGTGCTGTATTTTCCCCACAGAAGCTTCCCTCTGTCCTTTCAGTGGAGTACTTAATTTTTCAAACAGAGAATTGCCACATATATGTGAACAGCATCCTCCAGAAATCCTTGTGCAGATCACAGCTAATTCACAAGTTATATAGGGACTTCCTGTAAAGTATAACTAAACCAAAAACCCCAAGCTGATTTACAAGGCCTGTAAGAGCTAGCAGTCTCCTGTGAGCATCATTACAGCAGTACATTGCACAAGGACTGTTATACCTTTACAGTAGTCATGCCTTCCATCCACTGTAGTCAAAGTACTTATTAAATAGCACAGAAGTACTGCATTATAAACTTTTGTACACTCTTCCATAACTAAAGTGCTGCATCACCTACCTTTTTATACTGTGGAGAAGGCGGACCAGAGACATAGTCCTTCATTTGGTAGCTTCGACAGGTCAGTACCTTTCCTGCTTGTGTGTGTACATTAACTTCTATTGGGACATAAATGCCATCCTCAACTCCCTCTTGCCTGTAAAACACATATATTCCTATCATGTCAATTAACCAATCCATCTTTCAAACCAACCATGCAATTAAACATATGGATTAATTATAACAGAATTCAAGGCAGGCCACTGGTCTGTGCTTTAATATACTTAAAGAAAAACAAATGAAGCAAAACATATTTCCATGCAAATTGCTTCTTCTTCTCTAAAAATATATTTTCTTATATGAAACATTCACTTTTATCATTTCAGCTCTGTAAGAAATGACGACTTGTGATTAACCTGCAAAGTCAGAAAGAGAATACTCCCAAACTAATTACTGTGGAAGACAGGTAGTCTGAAAGAGAAACAGATTATCAGAATTAATGAGACAGACACATGTTCCTTAGCTAACACTCAGATAAAGAAACAATTGCAAAGTTTTATCTTGTCCATTTTAATAAGGGGAAACTTGCACAACTTGTGCAATGTACTTTCCAATGAATAATCCAAGACACCTTTTAATTTGTACAAGATACAGAGCAGCAATGAGTTAGGTCAGGGCAAAAAACTATTTGGTTGGTTTTTTATTTTTAATTAGCAAAATTATGGTTCAAAAAACAAAGACTCAAAACCAAGGCTACTTAAAGTCCTCAACCACTGGCATTTAGCCACCAATAAAAATCTGAGGAAACAGTAAGAAGTAAACGAGAAGCTTAAGCAATACAAGAGATTTTATAGCACAATTATCTTTAGATGTACTTTAGCTACAAGTCATAACATGGTTTTAAACCTGGCTTGTCCAATATAAACTTGTCAACTCATCTTTTTCTCAAAGACTTGCTACCATTTCAAGTTATTTAACATACATAACGTGGGCCATGTTAGCCAAGTAACTAGGTTGAGTGCAAGTACAGACTGGAAGCTAACTGCAGATTCAAGGCCAGCAGACTACAAAATAAGTCATGTGATTGTGTGAGAGCAAGAAAACTGTTCAGTAACATCCATTGCTAGAATCTATGAGGCAAAGTCATTATTTAGTCTGTAACTTACAGGTTTGTGAAGTATAGAGGACAAAAACCCCACAGAAGCGACTGAGACAGCAAAAAACATGAATTTGAAGCCAAAGAGTTCTGCCATCTAAGCAAAAGGTTCCCCTCCCATATTTGTTTTCTATATATTGCATTGTTTTGCTAGTATTTCAACTAATTACACGTAGCCTCAATTACACATTCCCTCCTCTGCTTCTGGGTAACAACACAGAGACTACCCAGATTAGGAGGGGCAAAAAAAAAAAAAAACAAAACAAGTGGTCACTTTCTTTTTGGAATACATGGCAATTTCAGGAAACAACTTGGAGGAGAACCTACAAATATATCAGCTAGTATGCAGCCAAAGGATCCCAAGACCTTCAGCAGAAGCATCTGCAAGCTCATTTGAGTGGGTTAGGAGCAATTCTTAGAAGAGCACTGTTGACTATGATTATAAAAGACAAGAACACATCCAATTTTCAGTCTGCTTCCATGGCATCAATGAGGCAACTGGGAAAAAGTGATCTGTAGTGCTAGTGTCCATGCTGCAGATTTTGGTGGTGTTACAGCACTCAAGTCTCTAGTACCTCAGCAAGCATTGCAAGCAAATTTATGCCATCAAACAAGTACCAGGGATCTGCAATCTTACACTATGTCTACTGTAAACAGTGTGTAAACACTTATGAAGTCAAAGTACAAAATACTGTCCCCATGGAGGGGAAACACAAAAGCAGATCCTGTTAGACAGGATTATCATACTTAGGAAGTTTATGCTTCAGGAAAGCATGGTAAATCAGGAGTTTTAAGTAAAGGTCAGCAGAAGAGGGTCAGGATGCTTAAGTGCTACTGTAAGCAAGAGCAGAGGAACTCAGGAGATAATAAAGCAGGGACATGTGAAGCTGTCCACAAGCACAAGCATGCCAACTTCATGTTCATCAAGTTAGCTTTCATGCTTTGTTAGCCTTCTTGCTAACACTCCCAGCCAGGACAAGAGAGCTCAAGAGTGGCCATTACCATAAGGTGCAACAGAACAGTTTCTGTTGTATTTCAGGTTCAACATAGGCAGCAAAAAGCACATTGGAACCAAGTATCACTGCCAGGATTTTAAGGACATGTTTATACACTGGAATTGCAGCAGTACCAGAGACAGGTGAACAGTATTGAGGTAGTGCTTTCACTGGGTTCATTATGCCCTGCTCCCTTGTTTTTACTAGCCCAGATTTCTACTGGAATTGTCAGTGATTAACTGCTCTGAACAAACAACACTTGTGTACCAGAAGCACCACGCTGTGCAGGCACATCTCAAAAGCTGCAACAAAGCACATGGCAGCAGGCAAAGTTTTGGAGATTAAACCCTGTCTTATACCCTGCAAGAAGTCATGCTATTCCTTGCTTTGTTTAACCAGGTGGTCTTTCATATTTCAGTCTGGGAGCAACTTGCTGAGGGTTCCTTGAACGTCTCTTAATTACCAGGCACACGTAGAACATTCTACACCATGCATTGTAAAGGTGTAGTCAGGCTCTCCCATTCGAAGGGGGAACCTTTAGCACCACAGCTCTCTGCTTGGATATTCCTCAAGCTCACAAAAGCTTATGTCCTTAGAAGAGATGACATGTCAAATAACTTCCCCAAAAGGTCCCTTTGCCTGTATTAAAGATCTCCCTTCTGCAGTCTTGTCCTTATCTATTCCTTTCCTGCTACAACTGGAGTCTACAGATGTGTACATACAGATATTGATGTCAGTCTCAAAGGACATTTTCCCTAAAGTAATGGGAAAAACACCATAGGACAAATACAGATTTTAGAAATTTAAAATAGACAGAAAATTGGGAAGACAGGTTAAAAAAAAATAAAAGGAGCATGACTTCAAATCAAGGTCCACAGATTGTTAAAATACCCCTAAAAGTAGCTTTAACTTGAAAACAAAGCTGTTTTAATCACACAAGTGTCAGAAGTCAATACACATCCTGTGAAATAGAATTCACATATTAAAATCAAAAGCATCTTCTTGATTCCAACACCATAGTTTCCATACAGCTCTTTACCAAAAATTAACTAATTTTCAACCACTCTAAAGTAGCAAAAGACAGCAAAAGTTAAGTCACCTACTTATCCAGCGAACTTAGATTGCAAGTGTTCATTTTCCACACTATTCCCCACACTTCGTCCCCGGGGCTCTGAGTAATGGTAGCTGTACCTCCATGCCAGACAGAACTTGTCCTGCCTTGATGGTGACCAAACTCAAGCTTAAAATCCTGCAAATGAAAGCAATGCAGAGAATCAATTTCCCCTTGAAACTGGGGCTGTTGGTTATTCTTGACATGAAAGGGGCAGCCAAAGGACAGTAGTACATGTAGCCAGTTGGAGACAAAGAAGGAAGAATAGACAGCCACCTACCACCTACCCTGGTGCCACCTACCTGGTGCCAAACCTTTGAAGGTTTTTGTGATAAGACTTAAATGCTACTATGCAGGATCCAGGAAAATAGTAAAGGTAAAGGAGTCTACAAGATGGTGAGCTTTGGGTCCTGTCCTCATGCACTAATAAGACTACCCAATTATAAAACACCATCCCTTGTATTTTACAATGTTTATGCCATTTCACCACTCATCTGGAACATTCTTCGGTATTTTTAAGTCAAGGCATATGTCTCCTTCAGTGAACTTATTCAGGTTTTTGCAAGTAGAAATTTTCTTTTAGGAAACAAATATCACTTTTTCTTACAAGCATATATATAAAATATTAGCATACATGAAAAAGAGAATAATGGGTTATTGACTGGTATCAATGTAATTTCTCACCTGACTCAATACACTCATTATTCTCTCCTACTTATTAACCAATTTGTGAATTGTTCCCTAGCAGTACAGAAGGGAACAACACCCTCCCTCTCGAAATTCAAACCAAGCTTTAAGGAAGACTACCTGCCTAACAACAACAAAAATAAAACCCAAACCTATGCAGCCCCACAGCTTTGTGTATTTCTTACAACCACCCTCTTGAACCTATGATTTTGATTTGAAACACACATGTACACATTAGTATTTCATCTGAGACACATCACTCTCATTATAATATGTCCTAATAGATATGGGAAAAAGGTTGCAAAAAAAATAAAGCACTTGGAGGCACACACAGAGAACACCTATCAATTTGTGTGTCTGTGTGTGTGCATAAGCGACAGCAGCCTGGCAAAGCCACAATGTTTACTCTAGCAACATGAGTCATCTTCCTGCCCCATAAAATGTCCTTTATTTAATCAATTTCTCTATAAAAGGTTTACTTAGATGCACAAAGCTATCTGCACAGAAGTCCAGTCGAGTCACAGATTGAAGTTACAGATGAGCACAAGTAATTGCAGGGCAGCTCCAAGGAAATCCTGGATAGAATCAAGTACTCTCACTTTAGTCTCACTAAAAAAAAAAAAAAAATAAAAAAAAAAAAAAAGTGGGGGGAAAACTCCCTTACATTTTTACATTTTCTTGGACCTGATCTGCACTGAATAGCTGCAAGGAGCTGTATAAAATCATCAGGCAGCACCCAAAAAAGAGCAACAGAGATCGCACAGAAACAGCACAGTTCACTCTGGTTCTGGAAGCAGGAAACTCTAAGTTACACTATGTGTATAACTTACATGTGTGGGATAAAACACAGGAGATACTTTTTGCGGTCAAGAAATTGGTCTTTAATCCTTCTAAGTACCAGCGTAATACCCTTCCTGTACTTGTTACACATCCCATTTTCTTCACAGCTTTTGGCTGAAGATTAAGAAAGCTTTAAAAACTAAAGTTAGAGGGAAGTTTAGCTAAAGTTTAACTGAAGCTTTTACTTTAGTTTAGGATCCAAAGCACTCTGTTTACAGGCTGATTCTCCTTTTTTTAAGCCCAAGTGGCACTATCACAGAGCAATTAATAGGAATCAGCTCCGACCTTCCTGCAGTCCCGCACTCCCTAGCATCAGTGATTTTCCAGCTGGAAAAAAGGGAGTGAAGCCACCCGGTGTCGGCAGGGAACATAGCAATCAGTCAAAGGCCAGCTAGAGAAGGCAGCCAATCTGCAGCGGGGCAAGAGGTGCTTACTGGCTAAGCTGGAAATCGACCTGAAGAAGCTTGCTTTTACTCAAAGATAAGCACACACTACTAGTGCCTTTCTCCCTGCCTTCAAGGTCTGATCCTGCAAGGTGCTGGGCTCTCAGCACTTTCAGTGGAGGGGTAGCTGTAAGTTCCTCATGCTTTACAGGAGCAGGTCTCAGCTGCCAGGTTGATAGTCCCAAGAGACACCAAGTATCTGATTATGGGGAGTTTATTGATGACAAGTTTTTGGAACTTCTTCATACACTCTAACATAGATCATCTCCTGCCAGTTTCCCCAAGAGAACCTTCGAGTCACCTGTAAGTGTCAATTGATACTCTGCTCCTCCAAGCATCCTTCCAGTAGCACAGATCTGTACATCAACAGCTTTAATGGCCACAAGCTTGTGTTTCCAAGCCTACACTAAAGCCAAGCTGATCCAATGGTATTTAATAACCTGGCAGGGAAAGAACTGCCCTGTAGGGTGTATGAAGGTGTCAGCTGCAGGTGTACAGAGCTGGGTGAAAGCTCCCATCTGCCTGTCACACAGCACAGGGAGAGCTCCTCACCTCTACGAGGGACACCTCCCACTAGACAGGTTTGCTCAAAGCCACATCCAACCTGCTCTTGAACATTACCTGGGATGGGGCATCCACAACTTCTCTGGGCAACCTGCTCCAATGCCTCACCACCCTCACAGTAAAGAATTATTTCCTGCTACTTTACATTTCAAAGTCCATAGTGTTTTACACACAGGCCATGGGTCATGGCCGGCAGCCTGGAAGGTTAGGTCCTGTCAGATAACCCTGCAGCAGTGGGACTACCACAAACATTCCTCCTGCTGCGGGCAGCCCCGGCAGCAGGCCCTGGGTCAAGAAGCACAGGATAGCCAGGGTTGGAAGGGACGTCCCGGGATCATCTGTCCAACCCCTTCCGCCAAGGCAGCGTCACCTCGAGCAGGTGACACAGAAACGCGCCTAGGAGGGTTTGGAATGTCTCCGGAGAGGGAGACTCCAGAACCTCCCTGGGCAGCCTGTTCAGTGCTCTGCCTCCTCCCTCGATATAAAGAAGTTACTCCTCATGCTGAGGTGAAACTTCTTCCGTTCTAGTTTACGTCCATCGCTCCTTGTCCTGTCACTGCCCACCACGGCCAGAACCCGGCACCACCGTCTCGCCTGACTCCTGCTGGGGCCGCTCCCGGGGGAGAGACGGACGGGCTGCAGCACCCACAAGCCGCCGTGGGGACGTGCGGCTCCTCGGGAACACTGGGGCTCCCTGCAGGAATGTCGGGCTCCCTCAGCCCCCCCCGCCGCCCCCTCACGCACCTGCAGGCGCGCCGGGGCGCAGAGCGCGGCCGAGGGGTTTCGCAGCAGCAGCCGCTCCCGCAGCAGGTTGCTGCCGTACGCGTAGTACAGGAACCAGCAGCCGCTCTCGCTGCGCGGCTCCATCGGCCCGGCACGGCCCGATACGGCACGGCACGGCCCCACGGCTGCTTTAACGCCGCTTTCCCGCCCCGCCTTCCCCGCCGCTTCCGCCGGCGCGGAGCGGGCCGTGACGCAGAGCGGCGGCAGCGCCCGGGGAGGGCCTGGGACGGGCGCCCGGCGGGGCCGTGAGGCGGCCAGGAGCGATCCGCCCCTCTATCCAGCCATCCGCTCGTCATGCCAGCCGGGAGCCGGGAGCCGGGAGCCGGGAGCCGGGAGCCGGGAGCCGGGAGCCGGGAGCCGGGAGCCGGGAGCCGGGAGCGGCGCTGGGCCGGAGCCCCCGCGGCTCTCAGGGCGGCGGGGCACAGGCCGTGAGCTTGGGGGTTCAGTCGTAACTTGTACCATTGAAATCTCGGTTTGAACAGCATGGAAAAGAACCCAAGTTTTAGGAGAAAACTTTCACCTTTTTTTTTTTTTTAGAATATCGACGGTTCCAATAATTTAAAAAGTGTTATGAAAAGCTGGTTGGCTCTCTTTTAGAAGAATGTAATTTTGATAAGAAAGAGTATTGCTACATTGCCACGTGCTTCATTATAATCCCTATGAAGGATTTTTCTGTTTAGAAGGAAACGTTCACCTCAGCTCACAAGGAACAGCTCAGAGAAAGCCCGATCAGTAGCACAGCACGCACTAACACCTGGAAAAGCTGCCTGTTCCAGCATTTCAGCTGCTTCCTGAGCAGCATCCTCTCTGGGGAGGAATAGGCTGTGAGTGAGCAGGGCCTGCAGCCCCTGGAACTGAAAAGAGCATCCTGGCCACCTCTGAGATAAACAATGACGATTTGTAAAGACATTACATGAGAAGCAAAGTAGAGCAGCTTTTCCCAGCTGGGAATGCTCAGAGCAGAGTAAGATTGGAATGTGCAAAGGTAAAAAGTGAAAAGATGCTGGTCTATGGGCAGGCAGAGCTGCACAATCATGCACGGAGGCACTTCTCCCTCCCTGACAAAAGCAATGCTGGAATGGGACAGGAGGAGCCCTTACTGCTGGCTGCAGAAGCAATACATACATATGTATAACACAGCCAAGGAAGGCTGCAATTAGCAGTAGTGTAAGCATTAATGGTGAGATACCACTCATTAGTGCAGGTAAAGTAGCCCTCAGTGAAAGCTGGTTTCCTGAGCAGAGACAGCTGCCGCAGGATTTAGCACAACATCCCTGGTAGCACAGTGCCTGGCCTCTCTGGGCACATCCCCATCCTGCAATATAGAAGGAAAGTAGCTCCTTCCTTCAATGATGTGTTCAGTACTCCATTTGAGTCCCTGCTTTAGTTTTCCCAGCATGGGCATTGGGAAGACAGATTCATCATGAAGCACATAAGGAGATATAAATGATTCTGATCCTTCCTGACTAGTACCTTTCTATTTTTAGGAATTATTTTTCGCATGTAAGAACCAAGTATTGTAAAGTGCGAGGGATTACACGGGTCATAGGAATATATAGCAAAACTCCCTCACTCCTTACAACAACCGGTAGCCAAGCCTGTCTTTTGAAAACCTGCTTCTGGTATATGCTTTTAGTCCCTTTTCCCTAAGGACATGCAAACCATGAGAAGTGTCTCTCTCTCATCTTCCATCAGCTTCTGGACTGTTGCCTAATTTCAACCAGAAAGCAAGGGGTTTCAAAGATATCTACATTTCTGCTGATCTCAAGGAGAGTCAAGAGGATGGCTGTGAGACAGCAGGGATCCCATGAGGGAAGCTTTCAGAGGGTTCTGTAAAGCTCAAGGGACTAATCCTGCTGGTGAGCAGGTTTTCCAGCCTACATGCTTGCTGCACTACACGTTTGGGCTTTATATGAGCTGTCCCTTGTGAGCTGAGGTGGACATTTCTTTCTAAACAGAAAAAAATTTTATAGAGGTTTCAGTGAAGCATGTAACAATTGTTACTCTTAAATCTCAAAATTACTTTCTAAAAATTATCCCAACCAGCCTTTTGTAACACTTTTTAAGTTATTGAAACTTGTAGCAGAATTTCTGAGAGACAGAGGACACGATTTATTCTTAGAGTGAAGGTTGAGCTACCCTGGCCTAGGCCTCAGATATTCAGCTAGAAATGAGTCTGTGGTGCAGTTAGAAATTATGTTAGAAAGGTGTAAGCACAGTGTAATGGGCTTTCTGGGTGTGAGTTAGTATAGGTCTGCAGTGTGAAACTTTAACCACCTTAAGACAAAGACAAACAATGTTTGCTTGCCAATGAGAGTGTGCTCACAATTGTAAACTATATTGAGTGTATATAAACTGCCATCTTATAAACAATAAAGGGAGAACGTAGGATTAACCATATTGGTTTGGATCTATATTTGTCCTGTCCAGCTTTCCCGATTTTATATGAAGTCCCTTGCTTCTGAAACTTTTGACATTCTGCTTAAACAAAGCCATTCTTTTTATCAACACTCAGTTTCAACAACACTTGTGATGATTTTTCATTCAAAATCATGTAGATGTTGAACAAGGAGAAAACAAGCTTTTCTCCTAAAGCTTTTGTTCCTTTCCATGCTGTTCAAATCAAGACTTCAGTGTTATGAGGTTAGTCAGATGATTGACAAAGGAGGAGACAGAGCCCCTGATCTCATGGCTGGGTTTGTACACCAGAAAACCTCTCTTAGCAAAGGCAGCTAGAAAAATTACCCTCAAATTTATGGAAAGATAATCAGTGTAAAACACTGCTACTTGCAATTCCAAATATTCCATCGTTAAAAAAGGCCTTTTTAAATTAAAATATTTCAAGGTTTCCATTTTCTGCAGTTTGTACTGAATACCAAGCCTATTCTCTTACCAAGAAACTGAGCCAATGCTTCCAGGAGCATGGTTTTGGTATGCATGGTGTCTAGACATAACATGATGCTAACTCAGGTGCTATTTGAACTACCTAGGTAAACCTTAGATCTATGGTGAGTATTTTTCTGAAACCGATTCAATTCATTTGCACTTCTGAAATCCATTTCTTCCCAGCTGGTCAGTCTGATGGCAAGGCAGCATGGGAGGAAAATGAATTTGCTCTGGAGTGAAAGCTCTGCAAGTCTTTCTGCTGATGTATGTCCAAATCGTGACCAAGTGGCTGTATGTGCATAGGGAAATACTTGGGCACTATGTGCAGACTTTGCTTGGAAACCAAAAAACAGGGAGGAGAACCTTTCCTGTAGGAATTTGAGTAGAAACCTGACAGGCTTTGGTGGTGCTACCAGATTTCACACGTCTGCTGCTTCGTGACCTTTTCAGGTGAAAATTAACCCTCCGAGAGAGGAGTGTGTTAAATTAAATCCTGGGGGAGTGGGGTTTGACTTAAGTCAGTCCTAGGTGCTCTCCAGAGCAGCTGGCATGAGACCTGTGTTAACCTGTTTGAAGCCCCAAACAATTTGGGAGCATTGTTTCCCCTTGCATGTCGCTACAAAACCTGCACAGAGTAAGCAGTCAGGAGTACGCCTCCCGTTTGGGACCTTCCCAAACATGGGCGAAAGCTCTGGATATCCACAGCTGTTTGTGCATTGTCTGTGGAGGAGATCAACAGGGTTATTTATGCAAAGAAAGCATTAATTTGTTTCCATCAGGTTTTTTTGCCTAGATGCAATATATTTCTGAGCATATATATCCTATGGAGGTTTTGGAGGGGGAGAAAAAGAAAATTAGGAAAAAATAAGGAATTAGGGGGAAAAATGAGATGCAGTGGGGTAAGTTAAGCCTCCTGAAATGTCTGCCAGTCACTCAACATGCCTCCCCATCACTCCCTTTACACCCCATGGTTGTCACAGCATGAGCTATAATTGATATTGAAGAAAGAAAAGAGAACCTGGAGGAATAATAAGGACAACTGATGCAAATGAACTGCGTGTGCAGTCCTCCCCACAGCTTTTCACTCCTCTCTGAGGAGCCCTAGTAGGATGTGCTCTGCAATTAGTATTTCATCAAAATGATAGCTTTTAGCTGTGAGATGGTTACAGCTGGTGGTATCTTCTTAATACAGTGTGCAAGGTCTGGGGGTCTGCAGAGATTTCATGTACATGCAAATGAATGCAAATGATTTTACAAGGTGTCATGATGTTGCTATGCTTGTTCCTTCCCTACAATATGGGGACCATGCTGTCCTGCAGAAACTCAGCAGCCTCTTTCCCTTCCCTGCTTGACAGAATAGCCACTAACCCATGTGTATTCTGGCTTGGCCCCACTGACAACCAGGAGGAATGGCCATCATTCATTTTGCAATTCTGTTTTCACATGTTCCCACAAATGGTGCAGTCATTTAGGAGAGGAACTATTAAAACACCTGGGTCTGTGCATGTATCTGCCTGCTTTTTTTTTTTTTTTTTTTTTTTCTGTTTGTTTGTTTTTGTTTTTGTTGTTCTGCCCAATGTGAGTTTTGGGCCCATCCTGGGGCAGCCCTTAGCTCTCCCTGGCTGCTGCACACTCGGTGTGGTTCTGGGATGTCACCATGTGGTCAGTGCCATCTGGGGTCTACAGGTACTTGCATGTGTGACTTCAGCAACTGGTTCATAAATCTTCCCAAATACATCTTGTATCAAAAGAAAAATGCTGTGTTGTACTGCAGAGACTGTACCTGGCACACAGTGTTAGTGTTTTTATCTTGTGCATGAATGTACAGTGGGAACAACTTAATAGTGGGAACAACAAGAGAAATTCCTGTGTGTCAGAAAAGAGGCTGACCCTGATCATCTTTGTGGACATACATTCCAAATCTGTCTTTTTTTCCTAGGACCTAGTGTTTAACTTCCCTCATTGTAAAGCTCTTCTGAATGATCGCAATTCTCTATTGATACGACACAAATGGTTACAGGAGATTTTCACAACCTCTTGATAATGAAATCTCTTAGTTTGCTGTGTCAAGAGGATTTGTCAGTGTGATGTTTCTGTGTCCTGTTGTCTAAGGATGCATTATCTTCTCCCACTGCAGAAGTGATTGCTTCTTCCAGAGGGTAAGTTCACATTGCCATCTGCTTCTGGCAGGGACTTGTTTCTCCCCAAATACCAAACAGGATTTCTCTCAAGTCTGTCAAGTACTTGAGCCTTTTTTTCCCATGAAAGTTAT